AGGGGCGTTCGTAAGTAGAGGTACCACTGTATAAGCATTTAAGACAGAATAAATATACTGAGAATTAAGTAATAGGTTACTTGGTAGATCAAGGGTACACAACTGGTTTGGGGCTGAAGGCTGCATTTGATCATGGAGAGGAGTAGTGTTTGTCACACTCCAACATGTAGGTAGGGCCAAGACAAATATAAATGCTGATTTAAATTGTGTGTATGCATACACACATACACACACACAAACTCACATACATACACATGCATACATACAGAGAGAGCGAGAGAGCATTACAATGAAATACAATTAACATTAGTGGTGTGCAAAGCTTTTTGGATTTGATTAAAACACCATGTTTCATGTTCAGAATCTTGGTTTTGAATTCCAAAGAGATTTTTTGACCATTCTGGAAATGTTTCAAGCTCAGAACCTGATTGGAAAGAGTACTTGGAACGGTCAAAACAAGCCAATGAATAGGTATGATAATATATATGGATTGAATGAAAAGTAATGCCACCACGGTAGAGGAGTATGGAGATAACCTTAAAAAGGAATGTGAAAGTTATTTAAACACCAGCTCATCCCTGAGAAAGAAGAGGGTGATGAGAAAGAAACCCAAAATTGCCCCACTTTGGTTCTTTGTGGTATAAAAAGAGACAGAGAGAAAGTCTATCAAGCCTTCAAGATTCTGTTACTACATCAATAACAATAAAATACAGTTCCGATAGTTCTTGTGGTATCTGTTTCCTGACCTGGCCTAACTTGAAGGGCTGATATCTATCTCCATAACTTTAGTTAAACAAGGATAATTTAACAAATGAAGTACGAAAATAATCCCCGAAATTCTCTCTTTTGCCTGTATTTACTTCTCCACATAATCACCACCACTTGCTACACACTTCTGCCAACAATGGATAAGCTTCTTAAAGTCATCATGAAAGAATTCCATATTTTGTCTCTTCAGCCAGGTCCTGGCAGTGCTTTTTACCTTTTTATTTGAGTCAAACAATACTCTTTCAGCAGTCAAAAATTCAATCACGGCGCATTGCTTAAAGCACATTGATGACTACTCACTGCAGGCTTCCATTTCATGAACAATAGCAACATAACCTTATTTCACAGCAACTTCCCACCCACTGAAGTGAAAGAACACATGCTAAAGAACAGGTCAGAATTTCTAGCACATCACTACTGCAATCTTTTGGCGATCTTTATGCCATTGGAGGCACTACCTATCTGTCATTCAACCCTTGTAGATAACATGATTAAATGTTCTGTTGGGCAGTTCTAGTCAATGGCTGGAGGAGCTTTGGAGTAGGGGGCATTTCACATGCTTTGGATGTCTCATGGGGCTTCATTGATTTGTGCATCCCAAAGGTAGACAGATGTCATTGGAAAATTCACAAATGAGACATGCCAATGCTACTCATCTTCTGTTTCTAAGTGCAAGATCACATCCTTTTTATTAATCATAGCAAAAAATATATATCTAGATAATGACTATCATACTTTGTTCTCTCTGCAGTATTCCCTAGAGTTGATCGCATGTTGAGGACATGTTTTGAAGGAGGAGAAGGACTCCTTTTTATGTCACTTTTCTAGAAAACTGCTTCTTCCCAGATACAACAGTATATGTAAAAATGTATGGGCTTATGCATGTTTCTATTGCAAGGGGAGTATGGTTTCAAAAGCCAGAGGTTGCATTCACTTTTTAAAAATCAACAAAAAAGTACTGCTCCATTTAGTAGTGGTTTGTCACAATCCTTAATGGTAGATTTTTTTTCCTCATATGAAGAAGATTGTTAAGGGGCAACATAAATTAGGAACATTATTTTGGAGTACTACACACATTTTTCTCCAGTCCTCATGCATTTTATTTAGTGTTTCTAAGAAACCACAGAAAGAACATCCAGCAGTGTGGAAGAAGTGATCATCAGTATGCGGACTGAGAGTTCTATGTAGTTTTGCATCTGTATGGGGATCTTCAAAGGTTTTGAACCAGTTTTGAAACTAATAAGTGGATGAAGACAAATATAAGTCCACTACAATCAAAATCAAAATGGGAATTATTCTGACAAAGAGAAGGAATAGCTCTATTTTTATATATGCAGTTTCAAGACTATAGCCACATGTCAGTTTATATCTCTAGTTAGTTTGGACTGGAATTAGATACGGTATCCAGTGTATGTGGCTGGCTGTTTTCTACATTAGCAATCTGGCAGTCCTCTGCTGAATTGGAATTTAATTTGCTGCTGTGCCTGCCCTGCTTTTAAGACTTATGCAGCTGATCAGAATCCTAATAGTAGTCTTTTCCACTGGGGAAATCGCTTTCATGTCAAAAAAGTGTGTATCTTAACAGGACACAATCTGGCATGCCACTGCTGCCATTTATAGTTTACCTGAGTTAAAAAAATTCCCACGCTAAGCAGTCCTGAGAAACCATCTGTCAAAGCAATTTTCTTCCTCATCTTTTAAATAGGTATCCGGTAATGCTGCGTTCCATTCTGAGGTAAAAATAAAAGTTTTTTTTTATTTGTCTATTAAAATAGTGTCTGAAAGGAATTCTGGAGATTTTTTTTTTGCAGTGAATTTTCAATTTTTACTTCATATTCCAACAATCTAACAAGGTTCTCCGGTTTGCTATTTTATAGGACTGTGAAGAAATATGACAAACATGGCCGGCTGCTTTCCAATAAAACAGATTTGTGTGACTGTCTAGAGAAAAACTGCCTGGGCTGCTTTTACCCTTGTCCTAAATGCAATTCAACAAAGTGTGGGGCAGAGTGTCGTTGCAACCGAAAATGGGTCTATGAGCAGATTCAGGTAGAGGCTGGCCAAATCATCCGATTTCCATTTCGAAACAACTAGATTACATTATGTTTCCTGATTATGTTTTCTCTCCTTTGCAAAAAAAAAAAAAAAAGCATTTTTTAAATGTAACAAATAAATACGGGGCAGCCACAATGTTTGAGGGAAGGAAAATAAATAGTTTAAATGACAGAGGAAAGGTTGGAAAAGCGCATGTCTTGAGGGCAAAATACTGTAACAGAGCGATGATTTGGGGAGAGGGAGAAGATAGTTTGATAACAAAAGCATCTTTGGGTCAGGAGAAACTTGATAGAAGAACTGGAGGAAAGGTGTTTCACATTTGCCTACCTCTGTTTCTCCATTACAAATCAGTACCACCCCCCATGTGTGCCTTTTTTAATAGCACATTTGAAGTGCATGAAGTGGATAGTTTCCTAATTCTGAAGATGCATCTTGGACCATATGTGATTAAGAGAAGTTTTGCATGGTGAGGATGGAAGGAAGTGGTAGATAAGGGAAAAGATGAAGAACTTTTCACATATTATTTCTTTGCTCCTCATACCTGTGAGCCAAAGATGCTGTGATCTTCAGTAAATTAGTATTAGAGTTAAATCTTAGATTATTGGAATGTAGTGTGCAGCTGCCTCTGAGTTTCTTTAGTTAGAAAATGTTAGGATTAAGCCTTCTTCATTCTGGTACCTTCCAGATGTGTTGGGAAGACACTAATTTCAGAGACTAATCTGGCTGGGGAATTCTGGAAGTTACAGCTGCAGGACATTTGGAGAACCTCCAGGCTGGGGAGGCTTATCCAGACACTAGGGAATTGATTGAATGTTCCTCCATTGCTATGGTCAAGAAGAAGAGGATGTGTGGTTTAAACCCTTTTTGTTGGGTAGAATCAGCCAAGAATAAAGAATTAAAACCAGCTGAGTAAATTAAAGAAAAAAGTAACCTCAACAACTCATTATTTCTTGACTTCATCTATACATGCATTGTACAAATTATCATACCTTGGTTATTGGAATGTAGTGTGCAGCTGTCTCTGAGTTTCTTTAGTTAGAAAATGTTAGGATTAAGACTTCTTCATTCTGGTACCTTCCAGATGTGTTGGGAGGACTATAATTTCAGAGACTAAGCTGGCTGGGAAATTCTGGAAGTTACAGCTGTAGGACATTTGGAGGACTTCCAGACTGAGGAGGCTTATCTAGACAATAAGGAATTGATTGAATGTTCCTCCACTGCTATGGCCAGGAAGAAGGGGATGTGCAATTTAAACCCTTTTTGTTGGATAGAATCAGCCAA